GGCCCGGTCCCGGTGGCCCGGTTCCGGGTGGCCCGGTCCCGGTGGCCCGGTCCCGTGGCCCGGTCCCGGTGCCGCTTTAAGGGCGCCTGCCCGCTGGCCCGCGCGAAAAAAGACCTATTCTGAGGGTGGGGGGGTGGCAGGGGGGGTCCGCAGCAAAATTTGAGGACGCTTCACACGAGGGCTCGAGTTCGAGGCAAAGCGCGAAGATGCTCCACGCGAGAGCTTGATTCCAAGGCTCAGAATGTGAGGACTTTCCACGCGAAAGCTCGATCTCGAGACAAAATACGCGGATGATCAACATGAGAACTTGATTTCGAGGTGAGATGTGAAGACGCTCCACGCTCCATGTCAGAGCCACCAAAAAAAAATTGAAAAAATGATCCTCCGCGGGCCTTTGATCCATTGCACGGAGTGCCAAGGACATCACACATATCACACCATCTGCTCAACACACCATGAACTTCCAAGCCTCTTTGGCTGCAGCTGCTTGCACGTGATCCTTCACATAGAGTGCCACTCAGCAATTCTCAGCATCCAAATCAAGCGGACCAGCAGAGCGTTCTACGGGCATTTGTCCAGTGCCGGGCCGCCTCGATTCGTCGCAATGCCTCTGTCCGGCTCTGCGTTTCACCGCGCAAGGCTGCCTGGTTTTCAGCTGAGGAAACTAGACGCATCTAGACACTATGCTTCAGCTGCCAGACGTGTCGGCTCTCCGTCCTCAAAGTTGGCAAGCCGTTGATCGACGAAGGCCTCACCCTCAGTCCTGGAAAGTCTGTGTAAGTGCAATTTTTGGCTTGAATGCCATGGCAGAGTCATGCCCGACGAGTAAAACCGTACCCCCTCCCTCAAGAAAGCAGTTCCAGCTCTCTGTAAACTCTTGGCTCCTGGAGGCAGCCTCCTGCGCCAAGCCCTGCCGCAAGTCGGTGCTAGCCACCTCTGACGACACTTCCAATGCGTTCCAATGCACCAAGCTTGTTTTCACCAAATACCAAGCAGGCCAAGTTTTCTTAAATCTTGCCACCATCAGATGTCAAGCTGTACAATAGCGTGCCTCAAGTCGCCGAGTCATTTCACCTCGGTGCCGTGTTGCAGTTAATACATGCGTGAAAGAGGGCAGCACCGGGGCACACCATGCTGATATGAATCCGCGATTCATGGCTGCACTGAACAGAAAGATGACCCATGCCGATTACAACGATAAAACTGCTGCATATGCTACAGTACCTACTATTCCTACTACTATTATTACGATTATTCCTATTACTACTCTTCTTCCTAGTATTCCTAGTATTCCTACTATTCCTATTATCACTACTACTATTATTACTGTTATTAGTAGAAGCAGCAGGGAATATAGTCAGCTTCTCCTGCCCAGCCGCCGAACTTCTGCTCCAGGTCAGAGGCTGACTCTTCAGCAAGGTGCCGCCTTGGAGGGTCTTGCAAATATGCTATACCACATGCCACCTGATAATAATACTAATAATAGTAATAATAGCTACAACAAAACTAATTTCAATTGTAACAATTGTAATAATAATAATAGTACAAATAATAAGAGTACTTAGTGTACGTCAGCTGGGCTTTGAGGTTCCTGCAGCTCCTCGCAGGCCTGCTTCAGGGCAGTGAAGGCTCCGGCATCGGGGCACTCCTCTCAGCAGAGATCGAGCTTTGCGCAGCGCGTCTGCCATCAACATGCAAAACCATGATGGTAGTTTCCCAAAATACGGGGACCCCCCATATAGCTCCCCAAATACTATAGTCCTTATTATTGGGATCCCCAAAAGGGTGCCCCTAATTTTGGGAAACCCCCCAATAACGTCAGGCATATCGTTGCAAGCCCCCACTAGTGCATGAATCAGAGCAACTATCAGATCCTCTCTCTAGGAATCATGCTGCGACGGGCTCCTGCTGCAACTGGCCTCGCTGCCTCGCTCGGGAAAGGGCACAGCAGGAAAATGCTGTTGATAAATTACAAGTTGACCAGAATCCCAGTCTTCCGGTTTTCACCTCCGTAGTCAAAAGCACCGAATACGGGTACCAGTGCATGCATTAGACAAATGGTTGGCCAAAACAACTCAGCCTATGCATTGGTGATGGACAACGCTGAAGTGTACCCGTGCCCGTACGCCTACAAATGGCTCGCAGGAAAAAATGCTGTCCCTGTCAAGACTGGAAAAAGATCAGTTTCTGTCTTAATGCTCTGTGCACCAGTACTCTGTTGGGTCCCCTCGTCTCAATGCGGAGGCCATCTTATACTCTCTGGCTCAAATTGCAAAAGAAGTTTGACTGACCTTTCGGCCTGAAAATGTGCAAGGCTCAACATGTTTGACAAGAAAAGGAATGTAAAGGACAATGATGGGAAAAGAAAATGGAAGGACATTAGCAAACAACTCACTACACAAGTACTTTGGCTTACTGTTCCGCCCGAAAATGAACAAACACGTGGAGGAGACATGTCCTCATCCCGTACCATGAGCACCACGGCCCAGGTCAGACATGTAGGATTACGCGCATGCTGGCGGTGGAACAGGTCAGGGTCTGGCGATTAGGTTCAGCATCCCTGAACAAGTTGGACGGTAATACCAGCGTTCGCAAAAACAATCGTCCTAAGAATGGGAAAATTAACCCCAGCAACAGCCAGCGCCAACAGAAGCTCTTTGAAAACGTCTCGTTCTAGACATCGGCCGGCTGCTCCAAGACATGGTCCCTTTTGAAAACCAAAAGCCGAAAACTGCCTAGATGCTGCAACCCTGAGCGCAGCTTCACGGTACTCAAGCAGTCTGCTCAAGTCAATGCTATTCTCTTGCCGCGCTGCAGTGTAGCCATGGCTGCGTGCAGCTCTTCTCCAAAGTCGCGGAGAGACTCTGTGCGCTCATCACGCTTTCGCAGCCTCAGGAACATGCTGCCTTCATTGGCTGTGAGATGAGTTTGAGATGAGAACGGCAAATAACGACAAATGCGTAACCCTGCATACAGGGAGCTCTGAACGCAAGTGCTGTGCTTCTGCAGTTCTCTCCTGCACCTGCCAGGGACACAAAAACAAAAATATCTTCCTTCAAATGTCTCACGGTATCAAAGGCTTGCCACGGCCGGGGTGGCCAAACCGACTGCAACATTCATTAGATGAGCTGAAGCCGAAGTGTGTACGGTACCCAGCACATCTTGCGAAACTTAGTTATTCAGCCTCTGGACATGCTGTGATGCCGCAATGCCCAAGCCCTTCCATATTTCCTTCCGTTACTCTGCCCCAAGTCCCGTGCCTCTTTTACCACAGAATCGCAGAGGTCGTCAATGCGTGCAGAAAGCTTCGAATACGCGGTTGGGGTCCGTGCCTTCCATGAATCCATCCAGGCGATATCTTCAGAGATTAATCCTGTTAGTTCACGGACGATCGCCTCTGCCTTGAACGCGGACACCTGCGAGTTAAGGTAAACTCCAGCCAGCTGGCAACGAGTTGCTGGCAGCCTTCTCGTCTAACTCCTTCTGACCATCAGTCGCTTTGCGACATTCCTCATTGGTCCATTGCCACAGGTCCTGTACAAGTCAAGTCCCCGCGGAAGAGATCTAGTTGGGCTGCCGTCTAAGCAGGTGTATTACGAAACACCATTGACATCTGTAACAACAACTATCAGGGGATTGATGTTTAACCTTGTTATACCTTGGGTGGCTTCCTACATAGGTCGAGTCGCAAGCAACATGATCCTTGCCTGGAAATCCTGCACCACACGCGACTCCAGCGAATGCAGCACATCTTCGAAATGGTTGCAAAGCTTTGTTTCCAGGTTCTCCAACCATTTTCTCACTTGGGCGCCCAAGTTGTTGCTCTCCTTGGTAGCATTGCGACACGCTGCTTAGCAGTCCACAGCGTGAGCAACTCACCATGCGAGGCACATGTTTGATTTCACCGCGAACCGCCTGTTCGAACTCTTGTCGAAAGGCTTGCTCCTCAATAAGAGCATCGGTCAAACCTGCCAACGCAGATCTGCATGCAATTCATCAGCCGGCCCCGTCAACTCTGTGCAGATCTTAATGGCCTGCCTGCTATGGAAGCTTGAGCTGTCATCAGCTCATCTGACATGGAAGTGAGCCTTTCGCTCATGTAGCTAACCTGGCAATGTTCAGGAATGGCCTTTTCTTGGTTCAAGCAAAACACGCCCAAACAGCTTCACCCGTCCCAAAATGCAGAGTACCATTGCCAGCATTGCAAAGCCTTCATCCCCTCCCTCGAATACATTCAACATCATTCAACAACCCTTTCCCACCGGTGCAAAAGGTCGCCCAAGCCCTGCCCCTGTACGGGGCATAGGCCGCGTAAAGCATCCACGCAAGGTTAACTTCACGGGCAAGGGCCACACTGGCTGGCGGAATGCCACCGTTGAAACACACACGCAATATTTAGAATGTCTAGAGTCGAGTGTAGTGCCATTTCATTCAAGGCCTGCATGTGCTGCAGCTGATCGATTCTTTGCTCGAGGTCATGCAGCCCTCCATCAGGTAGCTCCAAGTATACCTTGGCCAGCACACGCATGCTAGTGTATCGGGCTCGCTTGCAAACAACTCGATCTGCTTTTGCTGCCGGCACCGATTTGGGCACGCTGGCCTGCTTTACTCCACCCCAAAGGTGTCACTGGTGTCCCGCTTGCTTTGTGCTTGGTTGTCTTTTTCTCGGCTGGAGATGCTGGTCAGATCTGGTCAGCATCAACAAGTTGCCTGGTGCTAACCACCGAGGAAGCTGCAACCACTCTCCGCAACTGATTTCAACACCAGAAACTGCGCGACTTATACTTTACGGCAGTGACGGCGGCGCATCATCTGACATCATTTGACAACTGCAACATTGATGTTGTGAGGGATGCTCGAAATCGGCGGAACGATCTGCACGCGGATGTGGCCTGTCAGCCTGACAAGTTGCCCCTGAGTTTTTGCAACGCCCCAACCATGCCACAGCTGCACAGCTGTTCTCGACATCACGGCAAGGCCGCTTCTTCCATTCCGTCCGCCTTGCACCCTTGAGACCCACAAGAGCCTTGACAAACCTCGAAGGGAGCCAGAGCCAGTTGAGAGCAACTGAGGCCTAGCAGATCTCACACTTGTTCTTGCACGTGATGTGTGTGGCAGGCCAGCCTAGCCGCAGCGCTTGTGTTGCCAAATAATCTCTGACCCAAGCGACGGCGAAAGTGCAGCAAGCACCAGCCACAAAGGAATTGGTTCGGGAAACTCAAATCAGCAAACCGCTTGAAATTCCACGAGGTCCCTTTCAACAACTTACGTCTCGTGAGCTAGAACTTGGACCATAGTGGTACCTTCAACTGGGACCCCTTGGGACATTTTTGCATTTGAGTTTAAACACTTGTGCGGTGCCTGGATGCCAGCTTTACAGAACCATCTCATTTCGAGAGTTGTATAGGACAAGGGGCACTACAGTTGTCTGACATTCCTGTGCACATGCGCACATGTGGCATCTTTTGAATCCACTCGTATCTTACTGAGAATCTTGATCAGCAGCTCAATTGCGCAGAGCTGACTGCTCCAGCACATCACGAAATCGACATTACTAGCAGAAAGGCTTCAATATCCTGGCTGAGTGAGCATTATCGAAACACCCAGTGCTCCCATGCAGCTGAGTTGACTTACGACTACTATTTCAGTTATTCCACTTCATGTTGGATTAATTAAATTAGAAGCTTACCCCTGCATCATTTGCGCAAAGCTTGCCCGACGACAGCTGTAGTGCAGCAATGGAGCTGACTCGAGGCTCCGCAGAGTGTCCTCCGAATCCGCATAATTTCCATCCGGGCCTGGCAAATTTCCGGCGGAGGTGCGCTCCATTCTCTCCGGCTGTCTCTCTTTCATGCACTTTGTCCTTCTCTTTCTCCTCCTCCTGCTCCAGCTTCTGGTTCTTCTCTAAATACAGGGAGCAGCACTCTCCGTACAAAAGCTTTGCTCTTCTACACACCATGTGATGTGATGTGGTCAAACGTTCACTCTTCTTCTATGTGCCGTGCGCCATCCCAAATTTGGCACTGGGCTTAGCCCCGAACACGCTGGTCTGAACGTATTAACATTTGACATGTGAGGATTGGGCAAACGTTAATAGATTTTGCAGTACGGGTCTCAATCATGTCGGACTCAGAAGGTCTGGGATACCACATATTCCGGACACCAGCCATCGCCAAGGCAACCTACACCTATAGATCATGCTGGTTTCCGCAAGTGGTCTCTGCACTACTTGCGTCGGCTGTGAAAGTGGGCCAGCTGGCTCAAGACAAGATGTGCTGCTCCAATCATGGTCAGCGAAGCAAAATCACATGCGTGTGTGCCAACAATTCCCGATTCCCAAATACTCCAAAGCACACCACCCCTTCTCACCCCACGTCTCCAGTCGATTGTCAAAGTTTCCTGAGTCCGGCACCTCCCTTTGTGCAATTCCCCAAACTCTTCTTTTGCAAACTTCACCAACCCCTTGTGGGGCTGGTCGGGCTTGCACCCTATGGCCCAAGGCGAGTCCCCGCCCCACGCCTCGCTCTTGTTCGTGGCTAACCTGTCCCCACTTAGAAAAACTCATCTTCTGCCCTCCTGGAACATGTCCCTATCATGGACTGAAGAGAAATCCATCACCGAGCCCCCTTGGTCCCAACACGCTGACGGCTCCATAGGTTTCTCCTGGTGTCAATATCATTGACTCCCTTAAGTTCTGGCAGCGACCTTACCCCTCTTCGATATTATAAAAATGGGGGGGGGGTACCCTTTTTGCCCGTGTGAACCCGCAAACGGTTTGCAAAATGGCGGGGGGGGAGGGTCAATTCATAAGGACCGTTAAAAAAACAGAACAGGTATAAAACCAAACAGGGTACCATTGCCATTGTTTCTATAAATGGGGGCAGACATCAATATGTAAGAAACATGTCCTTTGGTTTGTTTGGTACCACGTCCCCATGGCTGCGTCCTAGGAGGATTATGTGAGGGATATATAGGGAATATCTACACGGTTCATGGGCATGTTTCTTCTAGCATTCTTTCGGCTTTTCATATCGCGAAGTGATGCTTGTACACCATTGGCCTTCAGCCTTTCACTTGAGAGCAGCGCGGACGAAAGCTAGATCACGGCAAGCAAGCCGGATTTTTTGCGCATGTTAATCGAGTGTTGCATGAGTGTCCCCACAGAACCTGATAATATAGTGGCTTCCATGCCTTCATTTTCTGCTGATCAGAGGTAAAGCACCGTAGCCGTCGTAAACAACCAGGCAATTCCACTCTCTGTTCGATTCTGTTCTCCATGTGAGTCCCCGCTGTTACAATAGATTCTTATATAATCTTGTATTATATATATATATGGTCCTGCGCTCTGCGTTCCCAGCCCCCCCCCCCTCCCCCCCCCAATGGTATCCCCCCC